CTGTGTGTATATGCCTGTAGAGAGACACACATCTATACTTATGCGTATATACCATCCATCTATATATAGTGTGTATATATGTATCCAGATGCATGCATATCTATATGCATCTAACATAGGTGTGTGTGTATATACACGTACAGATATATCTATATATAATGTACATAAGTATACAGATATACATTATACACTATCTGTACATAAATATATGTATGTGTGTGTCTATACACACACACACATCTATGCTATATGCAGATAGATGTGTACATATGTGCATGTGTGTATAGACACACATCTATACTATATGCAGATAGATATGTACATATATATACTATATGCATATATAGTATATATATATATGACATATCTATGTATGTATGTAGACAAGGTTTTTTGGGTAAATGTGATTTATTAGACCAACTCAAATAGTTGGAAAAATTCTTCTTTGCAAGCTTCCGAGTTTAGCTTGCTAAGAAGAATTTTTCCAACTATTTAGTTGGTCTAATAAAAGCTATCAGATTTACCCAAAGAACCTTGTCTGCCTATGTCCTTAGATCAACATGGCTACAACCTACACCCCTGTATATAAGTATGTGTATGTTACAGCATACATATGTATACAGATATATGTATATGTGTGTACACACACATCTATACTATATATGTATGTGGCTATATATAGCCGTATACACATATACGTATATTTACATACATCTACACATTATGTACACATACATATATACACACATATATATACTTCCACACACATTTATATATAGTTGTGTACTGGATATATACTATATAGACTTCATATTTTTGTTTATGTTATATTTATTTAAAATATAGTATATTTTTGTTTACATTTTATATTTGTTTATATCATATAACATTACATATGTATTATATTATCTAATAATGGGTTATGTGTGCATTATACTGATGTGATGTACACACACATATTCAGAATGTAAAAAATCCTCTGTCATGTATGCATATCTATATATATACACACACACACACACCTAAACATGCAGAAATTAAAGAATCTACACACACATACATACACACATATATAAGCACACATACATATAAATGGACATATATACACATACCTACACGCATCAAAAACGTAGAGAATCCTCCCTCATATATGTACATTTGTACACACACATATACATACTTACCCACAGAGAATGTAAAGAATCCTCTCATACACACACACACACAAAAGAAAATTCTTTGAAAGATGTTTTTCCCTGCCTAGAGATGGTCTAGTAGCTTAGCACAGTCCCAGCTCCAGACAGATCTCCTCTCAAGATGCTGATAAAACAAGACACCTGGGATGGGAGATGAATTAATTTCTCTCCTCCTTAGGCAGAAACCCCCGCAGGGGGGCTGGCATCAGTGCTTTTCTGCTAATCCTGGTCTGCCCCCCTCAGGTGCAGAGGACAGACAAGGAGAAAAGACAGGCTGCTTCAGAGCAGCACTGTACCTATACTCCTGGCAGTCCTGGGCAAACTTTTAATATCGGCCTCCCCCTTCACCAGAGATAATGATAATAATAATGATAATCAGACAGAATAGTTATCCTTTTTGGGCCCCCTTTCTGTTAGGGCCCCAGGCAGCCACCCAGTTCACCCATGCCTGTGTCTGGCCCTGCTTCAGACAGACATTTGGAAAGGTGCTTTCTTCCCCCTGTAAACACAGATGCACTTCCACCCACCATTCCTTTCTTACAGCTCACTCACCCCACAGGTGAATTAAAATCCCAGGAAGTGAGAATTCAGTGTAACAACAGTGCCTCCAGTTTGGTTCCTATCAGTTTTCAGCTGCTGTAAAAAACGTAATTATTTTCAGAGGAGGTTTTCAGTTAAGTGTTGGGTGAGTCTTCTCAGTGGGAATTGTATCTGATCTAAAGGATTTGTAGATGCAGCTGAAGAGCAATTGTATAGCCCCAGGAATCTCCTTCCTATCTATTCACCCTCTCGGTATTTTTGTTCCACTTTCAAACCAGATGAGTTAGTGGTGAATAACCACACAAAGATAGTCTCACTCTTTCTGAATGGATCTGAACAGTGTCATCTGGTGCCTAGCAGAAAAGAGAGAAGCAATACAAGTGACTGTAACAAAAAAAAACCCCAAGCAAGCCAAACCCAAACCTTATCCTGTGTGCCATGCCTACAGCCCAGAAGAGAGATGGGCTCAAAGAATACTTTGTTTCTCTTTTCCATGTTTACTAGGTTAATTTCGGTGAGATAAGAGAGTTTGGAAAACCATATTAAGATTTCCTTTAAGAAAGACCTATCGAGATCCCAGAAGTTGTTGTTCAATCTAAGGAAAATGCCTGGACCAAGGCACTAACACAAATCACTTTTCTGTGATTAAATCTGTTGGTGGTATCTACAGGAAGGTTGCACTGGACACCTGAGTCCTGTAGACTCGGATGCTTTTTATTTTTGGAAGATGTCCCAGAAAATAGGCTGGGCCACCAAAAGAGAGAAATCAGCAGAGCTCCTCCCTGTGGGCAGTTCACATACTTAGTGGTTATTAACATTACCAATGGTCCTAGTGCCAAGAACACTTCTCACGGCAAACAGCAATTTCCGACTTGAGGTTGTACTGTGAACAGTAAGTACCAGCATTAAATACAACTGTGACTCGTGGTCTGATCAGGGTTCTTGCCTATTCAAACAAACCATCACCTGCTTTTCAGCATCCTCTTCAGTGCCCTTCCACTTCCTGGGGAAAGCTAAGGGCAGTTAATTATTTTCATGATACAGACAGGAATTTCCCCTCTGGGAATTCAATCAGTCCCTATTTCAAAAGAACATATTTCACATCTGGGATCTCTGTTTTGAAAATAAGCTGTAAATTACTTCACACTTATTCTGAATGCAGAACATTACAGTAATAATAATCCTAGATGATTAATCCTGGGAGGAAATGTATATCTCCTATTTTTATATCCCGTTATAATTGGCTTCCAATCCAAATTCCAAATATATATTTTAAAAAAAAAAAACACTTCTAGAACAGATTGACTTTAAAAAACATTTCCATACATAGAGGATGCACCTACATGAGATGCTTAACTTTGCATTAGCATAGTTTACTGCAAAGTGCACCTACATGTGCACATGCTTACTTCACAGCAAACCTTCCTAATACCAAGAAAATTTGCTATCCACAAATGCAAGTAGCAAATTTTCCTCTGCATTAGTAACTGCACCGTAGCACTTGTGTAGATGCCTGATCAGGAACAAAATCTGCTCCTGGCCAGCCAGCCAGAAGTGGGTGGGAGAGAGCTCCCTGACCCCAGGAGCTGCCTGTTGCTGGGGTGGGCTCCAGTTCCATAAGCACAGAGCTGGGCAGGGAACTAGTTCCCCAACCTGTCCATCCCCTCCAGCTCTGCACTCATGGAGCTGAGTAGGGAACAAGCTCCCCAGCCTCTGCGCTGTGTGCCCAGGTGGAGACAATGCCCCCCTGCCCCAGCAGCAGGGAGCTTCCAGCCTCCATTCCCTGATCACAGACAGGGGGCTAAGAGCTTGTCTACAACAGCAGAATGGGGGGTGGGAACAGCCTGGGAGCTTGTTCCCAGCCCCCACTCCACAATTGCAATTGCAATCATGGAGCAGGGGCTGGGATCTCCCCGCATGGGGACAGTTCCCTGCCCAGCCTGGAGCTGGTTGGGATCTGCCCCTGATCGGGACAGTTCCCAGCTAGCCCCAGGCTGCATGCAGAAGCATATGCAGCCTGGAGGCAGCTGGGGACTGTCCTGTTTTGGGCAGTCTCCAGGTAGCTCCAGGCTGTACATGCAGACTTCCCCATGCCACCTAACACTGCCTGGGAACTGTCCCAGTCAGAGGCAGGTCCCAGCCGTGTGTCCTGATCAGGTGATCAAGGCATGGAGCCTGGAAAGAGCTGCAGGGGTGGGGTAGTTCCCAGCCCCCTGCCCCGATCCACTAGCAGGGAAGCTAGTAGCAAGCTAGCTGCCCCACTGGCAAATTGGGGCAGGGGGCTGGGAGCTGCCCCCCCACCCGAAGCTCCTTCCAAGCCCTATGGCCCTGATCGGGGAGCCAG